CTGCAACTACCATCAGTACAGCTGGAACTACAGTTGGAACTACTCTCGGTACAGCTGCACCTGGTACAACAGGTTAATCGTAAAAATGCAAGCCCCAACAAAATGGCTGACCGTCTTCTGCAAAGCCTTGGCAATCCTCATATCTTCTGGAACGGATTAAGCAAACTCCATTCACTTTTCTGTACACCTGGATTTTTGAAACTAAAATAAATTATGCATCCTGAACTGTAATGTTTTTTTTCTGTGTTTTCACGTAAATAGCGATCAATTCTCGGGAAGGAACAACATTGTGTAACTCGGGGTTGTTCACCGATGTCACACAGACCCGCTGCTGTACTATATTCTATGTAATAAACCGGTAATCTTTCCTGCCTATCATCCACATAAGTACAGAGCATTCTGACAGACAATGCCTATCATCCACATAAGTACAGAGCACTCTGACAGACAATGTGTGTGTGTTGGTTTTGCTGATTTAATACAATAGTCGTGAAATATATCACAATATTATGTTAAATTCGACTATTAACATTTTAAATTTGCTCTCAACATTAAAGTATTTACAGAAATACTTAAAAAATATCAACCTCTCCACTTTTTATGAAATTAACTTTTTAATATTGTAGAATATCCGACATAGTGTAAAAGTATTACGGTGAAAGTGTGTAATTCGGTTATTTGACATAATAACTGTATATTCCTTACCAAATTACTTGAAATACGTAACAGCCTATTTTTTACATTTATTTTCAGTTAATTCAGTCATTTAACTATCCTCTGTGTTACGCTACAAAACTTAAGCAGTCACAAAATTGTCTTTAAATAACCCAGTATTTACCCATCCGAGTACTTCTGAACATTACGCAATACTCTCAGTACCAGGTGACCTGTGTGAATTACGTACTTTTCTGTCATATAACGTCCTAAACCATCCGAAAACTTGGATTATGAACGATGGACTTCGCTCTTGTTCACTACAGAGCAGTTTAGTCTAGCTAAGGTTATTTAGACACCTTCGCAAACTGCTCTAATCAGATCCCGGGATGAATAAGATGGCGTCACAAGATCAATGGGCGACTCCCTCATTCAGAAATGCACTGAAACTAAAGCCCAGCGTTCTATTGCGAAAGCTGTCAACTGTCATGAACGCGCTCTTGTAGACAGTTGACTGTCGAGAGAGCGCTTTCACAGGGACTTGGGAGGAACAATTGAAGGTGACAGCGCGTGATAATATAGTTATCTGCTCCAGCTTATTGAGTGTTTCGGAGAATTAGCAGGATACAGTAAGCCGAATGCAACAGGGGACTACGTCTTGTAGCCCGGAATGTCACAGCTGGCACGAATTTCAGTTGCGTGGAATGATACGAGGCGCGTCCACAAAGTAAGTTTCCCACTCGTCCCACAGCTAGCAAACCTTATATTGAGCGAAGCGACTGTGCGTACGTGATAGAGCAATGACGTAGCATGGCGCATGCACTAACGG